AACACAAAAATGAAATATATTCACTATTGAATCGAATATCCGAAGATTAGACGAATAAGTAACAATACACCAAATACGTTTCTCATCATCATCATCTAACAGAAGTCGATGAATAGAATCATAAATAGTTGTACTAATTGTTAAGAAAATAAGAGTCAAAATAATATATTTAGCTACTTGTTTACTTTTCTTCTTATTAAAATTAGTTCCTTTTATTGTGGCAAATGCTCGTTCTGCAGCTACACATGCATTTAACCATTTATCCATACTGAGAAAAATTCGTAGGAGAAAATCCATTGATAAACATTGAATATATAAGAATAATCGATTTGTATTATATGTCATTTGTGTTATTATAAGTAAAGTAGTAATCGATGAATCTAAGAGATAAAAAAAACCACAACCAACTTGATGTGTTGCTTTATTCTTAAATGTAATCATAGATAAAATACCATTGATAAGACCTATGATGATCATAATTATTGTTAAAACTAGGCTGGGTGTGGGTGTGGGTGTGATTACTTTGTTCCACTCGCACCCACACCCACCCTCCAAAATTCTAATGCCTTATAGAAGAAAAAATCGAACATATGAGTAAGTATTTCGGCTTGTTTTTATATATCTTAGGAAATAATAGTATTCACAATTTTTTGATGAAAAAAAGTTTTTGAAATATTGAAAATATTTTTCTTTTCTATGTGGCTCGACAAGCTCTATCCAGTGAAAATGAAAAAAATTTTGCTAAAGTTTTGAATTGTGCGCATCTTACTTGAAAAGAATAGTTAAATAATAATATATTATGGACGTTAATAATCTTTTTCTTTCTGTTTTATAATATAAATGACTAATCATATGTTGCTAATGCAACAATAGATAACTACCACGCGGACGCGCATCGTATTTGTATTGTGTGACGTTATATCTTATCAAGAAGGACAGTATGTTTGTTCGTAAAAAAAGAAAAAATTACATAGTATATATGTAAGATAAAGGTGTATTCGCATCCTAATTTAAAAGATATATATTTGAATAGCTCGGAAAGGCAATAAATGATATGATGGGTGATTATATTGAGAAAGATTTAGTTGAACTTCGATTTACACCACAATATGCAGTGGATTTAATTTACGATACATTAGAATGTCTTCATGAAGTGTTGACAAAAAATGATATTCAATATACTATATTTGGTGGTACTGCTTTAGGTACTGAACGACATGGTGGTCTTATACCATGGGATGATGATGCTGATACAGCTATTTTGAGTAATGATGAACAACAATTTCTTGCATTATCAGATACATTTTTTAATCATGGTTTCACTCTATTACCAGAACCAATTTTTAGTGGATATCATCTTTATCATACAAAGTTGGCTAAACCTCTAGCAAATGCTCAATATCCATATCCATTTGTTGATATCTTTATATTAAATGATACAGATTCAAGTTATGAATATCCAAATGAAACAGCACGTCAATATTGGCCTGAAACACCATTGCCATATGGTTGTTTTGATCGTCTTGTTGATGTACAATTTGGTCACCTGACACTTCGCGGTCTATCATCAGAAGATATGAAACAACACTTAAATGATAATTATGGTAAAGATTGGCCCTGTGTTGCTTGGCGAGAGTATGATCATTTTTATCATGAAACTTTCCCCAAAATACGCGTTCCATTGAAAGATGAAAATGCAAAACGACCAGCACAGCATTCTAAATATCAATGATCAACAAAACCATTTAAATCAATGACTAATCAAAATATATCATGAAATCTATTATCGAATAGATTTTTTATTTTTATTTATCGAAATATACAAATAATGTGTCTTTTTTTAGAATCTTTTAACCCTTTAACTGTTAAATTAGTTTTGAAACTAACTATATAGTAAACTTTTTGCAAAATAACTTTTATAAATTCACAGATATTTAAGGATAATATAAACATCAGAACCGATAAAGAGCTTCAGTTAGTGCAGGATGTTAGAGTCGACACAGAGCATACAGAAAAAAGGGAGTTCAGCGATTGTAGTTCTCATATTTCCTATAAAGATTGCGTTGATGAGTATACTCGTCAATAACAGTTAACGAGTTAATAAAATAAAGTAAAAACGATGTTAATTGATTGTTGTATAAATTAAGAATAAATATGTATTTCTTTACAAATACCTGTCCACTTTTGAGATAAGGCCATAAGACGTCGTATACGTGCGTCACAACTATAAAAGTTTCTGGACTTTCAATACTGGTAGCTCAGTTTGAAACAATTTTATTATATTTGTTCGAAGTAATGTCCTTGCACATTAATGCACTTATTCATTCTTTCGAACCACTATTCATAGCATTAGTAAAAATCTTCTTTTCGAAAATGATCCATTTGCTCTTGGATAGCAGCATGAAGCTCATTAATGTCCTGGAAATTTTTGGCACGAAGCTATTCTGTAATTTTTGGAAATAGGCCAGAAGTCGCAGGAACTCAAATTTGGGAGTACACTGGATAACCCATTAACTTAATGTGTTGAACTTCTAAATATTTCATTGTTTGTGTTGCCTTGTGCGCTGATGTATTATCATGGTGAATAATGGGACCCCTGAGACCCTGATGTTTCTCCACTTGTCTCGAAACATTTTAAACACATTCATTTGTATACTACTTACGAGGGAACATATTTAAGAGAGGGTCTACGAAAAAATCCAATATTTGTCTGAGTACCACCCGGAGCTAAATTTTTTTCGATTTTAACTGGCCAGTTGGAAAGAGTATTCATTTGTACCGACAAATCCAAATTTTTTCGGTTTAAAACCAATCTGAAAAAAACTCCCATATCTACTCGTACGCTGTGAGGTGGGTGTGGGTGTGGGATGGGTGTGGGTATGGGTAGGGTGTGGGGTGGGTGTGGGTAGGGTATGGGTGGGGTGTGGGTGTGGTGTGGGTGCGAGTGGAACAAAGGAATCACACCCACACCCACACCCACACTCACCCACACTCACCCACACACTCACCCACACCCACACACTCACCCACACCCATACCCACACCCACACCCCACACCCACCCACACCCACACCCCACACCCACACCCACCCTAATTATTTTCCGACGAGAAAAAAAATAGTGAATATTTTCTCGTCCCAGAAAGAAAACTACTGGGGGTATAAAAGTGAATGATTTTCTTCGAAGAAGTTATTCAATTTTTGAATCAAATAATAATTACTTTGTTTTATATTTTAGATTGGCTTCCACGATACAAAATTATTCAATTCAATATCAAGCAATAGAATTTTAAAAAATGTAAGTATTATTTTTAATTTTTTTCTTTTTGTTTTGTTCTTTTTAAAATCATATGGATGGTGGTAAGTCCTCCTATGATCTTTTTTATGCATTGTTTTTTTTTATTTTAGACACTGAACAGTGAAGAAAAAGATAATAGTGGGGGTAAGTGAACTGATTCGTTTCCATTATATAACATTAATTGAATCTTTTTTCTTTTCTTTTTAGTCCTCAATATCATCGCGTCGTCACTATCAACAACATCATCGTCCATCATCAAACGTAGTGAGTAACTTTTTCTTTTTTTGAGATGAGAATAGATAGTGAGTCTCAGCACAGTAAGTGTTAGTGGAAGGCAAGGGTGAGTTCTGTCCGTTGAGGATTAGGGTTTCGTCTTTCATGAAGGACTTCCGGATAGTCCCTAAAAGCCCGGCCAGGAACCGTCTTGGTATCCGTGGCACACGACCGGATCCTCAGACTCATTGACATGTCTCTCGAGTGGGAGAGATATGAATGATTTGAGTCTGTCCCGTGCGTGCATGAGCGTTACGCTCGCCACGGCTCCACCAGGATGGTTCCTGGTCGCGCGCGCGCGAATAGAATAAGCCATTCGTTTCATTAATTCAATGGGATTTATTTGAGAGAAAGGAAAGAAAAAAACTAATCCATCGTTTTGAGTCTACTCAATTGAAAAGCGTTGAACACGATGATTGAAATGATCGACGACATAGAGATTGCCATGTCGATCGAAGGACAAACCGACGGGATAGTTGAACTGATTTGCTCCTTTCCCCTCACCATTTCCACCCACAATGACAGTGCCCTGTTTCGCTCCTTTAGGCCAGCGCATCACTCGATGATTCCCCCATTCTGCCACATAGATGGTACCCAATGTATCGACGAACAGTCTGTAAGGATACGACAATTGTGTCAGAGCATTCCCTTGACCTTGACCTCCAGCGACGACAATTCCTTCTTTTGCACCTTTATTCCATTTCATTACACGATGATTTTCCCAGTCTGACACGTAGACATTCTGCTGTTGATCGACAAAGATGTAGGTCGGATCGTTGAGTTGATTGAGACCAGCACCTTCGCCATTGCCACCAGCCATGATAGTTCCATTCTTGTCTCCTATTTGATATCGTCTTACTTCATGTTTTTCGGTGTCAGAGATGTAGAGATATCCCTGATAATCCAAGGTCAATCCTCGACAAGCGATGTTGTTGATGAGGATTTCTCCTTGATATGTACCACTACGACGAGACCATCTTACGACTCGTCGATTCAACCAATCACAAATAATGAGACTATCCGTCTCTTTGTCGATCGACACATCGGTTGGGTAATTCAATTGATCCAATCGATTTCCTTGACCAAGAGCACCAGCTACTACTCGTCCATTCGTAGCATCCATCTTCCATTCAATGATACGATGATTCCCGTAGTCAGCGATGACTATCGTTTGATCATCATCAATGAAGAGACTACAAGGACGGTCGAGTTGATTGGTGGCATTGCCTTGTCCATGGCCTCCAACAACAGTCGTCGCATTCTGTGTCCATCGGGCATCAACTGGAATATTGGGAATTACTACAATATATGAAAAAGAAAATGAATCGTCGTTGTCGAAGGGATCTCGTCTCTCGTGGAGGCAACCGCTATAAATACGACATTCGTCTTTGAGAATGCTCATTCAATAGATAAAAATTCAGAAGTCTTTTTCTAGTTTCTTATCAGAAAAAACGATTTCGTAACGATTCTCACATCTATATCACTTTTAGTTTTTGCCAAGATCTTTTTGATCCTAAAAACAACATCTGGAGATTGTTGTAAGGAGATTTGTTTGAGAAAGACGAATTCCATCTAAACTTTTGACAGAAAAATATAGAGATCTGAGAATCTTATTTGGAATTGCGAGAATGTAGAATCTTTTTTAGAATGATCATTTATATGGACATCAGACAGGAATTTAAGTAATGAAATAATGAACTATGTAAAACTCTTAAAGTGCGAAAATCCTGAGAAAATATAATTCCAATGTTTTGGAAGCATCTTTGAGGATGTTTTGTACGTGATAGAAGAAAATTCCTGATGACATCATGTTATCGATGATTAATACAGATCTTCCAAAGGGTATCCTACATATTTGCATTGAGGATGCTCGTGAGATTTCATTAAATGTAAGCGAACTTGTTTGAAGCTGTTCGAATGGTGATCGTGATACGCTCTTGGCTATCATAGTCTCAATCCTGTTCATTCCTTGAGAAATCCTGAAAGGATCTTTCAGGATCTTGAATCTTAACGATCCTCTCAATATTATGAGAGAGGATTCTGCCAAGACTTAATCAGATTTTCGTCAAGATCTAGATCAAATCTTCGTATTAGTATCTTGTTAGGAGTCATAGCCATATCAGGCGGGGATCTTGACAAGAAAATTACAAAATTGGTTAGAATACCTAACTGGCTGATCGTGGAAAGCTTCAATCAGGATCTTGTTCAGAATTTTTCAGGAATATGCTCTTTCAGACCTTGCGAGACAATGTAAAAACTAATTAGTATCTTGATAAGAAAATATCAGGATCTATCTAAGAACTTTACAGGCTACTGTTAAGTCTATTCAGCCGTGTCTATTCCTTGAAATAATCTTGAAAGATCTTTCAGAATCATACACCTCAAGAATCCTGTCAGGTTTGATTCAAGATTCTATCCAGGAACCTGACAAAAATTCTAAAGTAGATTTTGTCAAGATTTCATCAGGTTTGAGTCAAAATCTGTTCTGGGTTCTGGTATAAGGGTTCTGTCAACGATTGTTATATCCGAGAAAGATCTTACGAGGAATAAAACAAGATTAGTATGAATCCTCAACGGAATAATACTGACAAGCTTCGATCAGTATCCTGCGCGGATATGTTCAAGAACACGTATTTCGAATTCTTAAAAAAGGTACAAGTATGATCAGGATCTTGATAAGAAAATACAGGGATCTAGTCAAGATCTTTACAAGTTTATGTTTAGACGCCATTCAAAATTTTATTCTCAGGATCCTGTCAGAAATCTAGCAGAAGTGAATGAAAGAATTCCCTAACGTTTTAAGCAAGCTCCAGGTTAGGATC